TAACAGGGAAAATCTGTAAAAAATAATAGAAAATTGTTCCAAAAATTGCAGTTAAAAATGTTTTTAAAAATTAGTTTTTACAGTGTTTCTCAGTGGGGGTCTATTGAAAGATCTTCCTGAGTTGGGTGATGAATAGAATTGTGTCTTTTGGAACTTGACTCTTGCTAAAAATTGGGAGATTTTCGTCTCCTTTACTGTAATTTTGACCCTTTTTAAAATGTAGCTTTTGAATCAATTATTTGATGAAAATAAAATAAAATGATAGTTAATTTATTTTTCAGTTAATTATTCCATCAAGCAAAAATGCCAAATATTTGCCTTTTCTATCTCCTCAAATATGAGGGTTTCCCAAATTCTTTTGTAACATTTGACACTAAGCTGAATATCCTTTAGTTGTGGATTGTTGTTGGACAAATCAGGGAATCTGAGACCCTAAGATCAAATGAAAAGAGTCGTTATAGCCTTACTTTCACGTTTCTCTGTGTAGTTTGTGGAAATTTAACACTAAATCAGTGGAGAACAGCTTCAAACCTTGAGGCCATGACCTATTTTCCTACACTTTTGATAATTATATTTTATCTTTTACACTTTTATTCCAGTTATTGGAGCTTGTTACTGCAGAGTGGAAGCACTGACGTTGTGTTTTTGTACATCTGTGTGTTGTGAAAGCTTTGAAAATGCTTCTGTCCGACTTTCTAGGAACACACACTTCTAGATTCAGACGAGATGAATGCAGAGCACTTTAATTTGACTAAATGTGCTCACAGATAAGACACATCTGGAAAGTAGGTCATCTTTTTTTTATTATTATTATTATCATTGAGCAATACCGTAGAAGAGGAGTGTCTGCGCTTTTCTTTTCCTCCTCCTGTCTTCTCCGTAAAGGCTGAGTGAGAAATCCTGATTGAGCAAACAGTGTGGAGGAGTGACGAGAGGGAGCGGCGCTCAGTGTGATTACCTGCTGCTCTCTCTCTCTCTCTCTCTCTCCCCCCTCTCTCCCTCCTTGTAGTCGCCTCCCTCTCGGGGAGTGAACACACTCCTGACTCTCCCCCTGCCTGTTCACACACGCACTCGGCTTCATGCTGCACACACACACACCCACCGTCTCCTCTGACTGACTGACTGACTGACTGACTGTGCGGACTGTGCACATCAAAGAAGAAGAAGAGCTCGGACGGGACGGTAGCACTCTGGACTGTTTGTGTGGAGGTGTGAAGAAGAAGAAGAAGAAGCACAGAAGCTGCTCTGATTCATGCTCTTGAGATAAAACAGGACAAGTGACTGAACTGGAGATTTTTATCTTCCTCTTCTTTGGCTTGACTCTAAAGACGGAGAGCGACCTTTTTTCTCTCAAGGACCTGCCACTGCTTCTTCTGCCAGTGACGACCCACTCGACAGGGTGAGTGCTGCTGCTGCTGCCGAACTCCCACCTTGAATCTCTCACACTCCCTCTTGCTCAATTGGGACTTTCTTTCTCTTCCGTGTTGCCTCGTTGTGTGTGATTCTTTTGTGACCTGCTCCTTCTGATCCATCTCTGCAGTTTTGACATTGTAGTATTGATATTTTACTGCTTAGACCTCAGTGTGTGTGTGTGTGTGTGTGTGTGTCTCTCTCTCTCTCTCTCTCTCTCTCTCTCTCTCTATGTGTGTGTGTGCATGAGCTCACTTTTTGCCCTGAGGATTCAAACTCAGGAGTGTGTGTGTGCATGAGACAGGCTTGAACAAGATGAAACAAACACCTTTCCTCAGACCAGCTTGTTCCCTGAATTCATGCACATTTAAAAAAAAACTTACTTTCAAAGAACACTTTCCCGGAACAGAACGCATTTATTCAACGTTGAACTGGACTCTTTACTCTTTTGGTTAATTATCCTATGGCAGAAAACTTGGACAGGCAGCCTCTCATTCGCTGCCATGACCGTGGAAATATTTTCTATTTTTTGCTGACGACAAAAAAATGTCAATATGAAACTCAAGTTGTTCCACAACAGTGAAAATGACATCATCGTCCGACGTCCCAGTCAAGTCATTTCTGGCCACAGATGGCTATTTATGGCGGTGTCCACCCTGCAAAACACTACCATTCCCTGAAATATGTGCCTTGTGGTTTGAATTGCAGTCTGTTTGAGGTCTTTTCATTAAGCCTGCTATCCTGTTTCTCATGTCAAGGTTTATGAACTCATGAGCATCTGCTGGGAAAAGTGCAGGACAGAGCTGGGACATGACTGAAACGTGTCTATAAATGTCAAGCAACAGGGTCGATGTCATCAGAGATTTCCTAATTTTAAAAAGAAACCAAGTTCATACGAAGTTCTTTGTTAAACATTTTCCTGTTTAGTTACATATTTCTTTCTAAAAAGCATCATTTGGTTGTTGGTTACCGACACAAACAGCCTTCCTGCTGGACTGTGTGTCTCATGTTCTGTGTCAGCTTACAGTAAAGCTCCCTGAGTGCACCCATGATTTGTATCTTATTGTTTTGCAAATCACATATGGATGTCCTTCAGCAGCTAATGGACGTGCAGCGCTGAAGCTGTGTGCTTTCTCCAGTGTGGAGCTAATGGATCACTCTGAGGGGTGAACTAATGGAATTCCTTTGCTCGGTGTAAAGCCTCAGTAGATGGTCAGATGGCTTTTGTGTTTAGTTTCTGATACATCTTTACACCTGGACCATGGAACAGCTTCAGTTCCAGTTCTGGTTTTGACATTCATTTCTGTTGGTGCTGTAATCAACCAAAGACAATCTTGGTCGCCTGAAATCGTTTCTGCTGTTCAACCAATTGATTGGTTGCAGTGTTGTTGTCCCTGCATGAACTAAATTGACCACAGTGCACTGAGTGCACTTTACCTGCTAGTCTTATTAACTTAAATGAATTATACATACACATAAAAGGATAGTATTTGCAGCATATTGATTTTAACCTGGTTGTTTTCTGCTGAAAGCATAACGGGACTATACTGCAGTTAGCCTGATGTTTTCAGATGATGTTTGTTACTGTACGTTGCTGTTTGAAAAGTTTACACCCGACTCAGTTTTAATACAATGCAGCCATGCTGACAACTTGTTTGACATCCTGTCAGTTAGTTTGGAGTTGAGTGTGATAATTTGTTCATTAAATGTTAAATAAGTCACATCCAGCAGTCTGTCTTTAGCGTTGGTGAGTTGAAAACTGTGAAAACGCTGAGCTGTTCACAGGTCGTCTTGTAGTGCTTTTCTCTTTATGAAACTGAAACTAGTGATTGTTCCACCAAATTCTCGTTGGCTGGGCAGATGCCAGCTGAGATCATATCAAGCAACCAGTCGACCTGAACACTACAGATTTCTATCAGTAATAACATTTTACTTCCAATTCTTCTTCTCATGTTTAAAACTAACTTGTTCAAAACCAAACCATGAAACTGTCACCAAAGCTGTTTGACAAACATCTCAAACTGACTACAGTCTGGCTCTGTTGTTTGACTTTCTGTAGTTGTGCACACACACAGTTTTACTGTGCAATGAAGGATTATTTCAGACGTTTCGGGTGCACTTTCCAAAGTTAAGCTTTTACTGCCAAAAACAATGGTTTAGATGATGTGATCTCTCAGCTGTGTTTCTTGACCTCTGAACTCTTAAAGTGACTATTTTTAGAGCAGTGAAATTATAACTGATAGAAATGACCCAAGTTGTTAATTACTTCTTTACATACCCTCACATGTAATAGTACTCTATCTTTAGATGAGTCTTCTTGGCATTTTTAGTTTTGTTTTGATTGCTCAGGTGTGACAGCAACAGCGGCGCTCAGATTAACAGTCGCTGGCACCAAATGGAAAACAAGCCACTAAAAGAGACAGAGAAAATGGGAACTCTTTAAATCTCTGTGACAGTCCCATTTCTGTCAATATTTTGACTATAAATAATGTAAATCTTACAGTGAAACTCTTGTCGTTCTGCTTTTTCACACATGAATCTGTTGATCTCATTCAGATCTTCCACACCCTGCGCGCCAGACTTCTGTAAAAGTTAATCATTAATTCACTGTCTTCTCATGAATTCATACACCTGTAAAAACAGGCGCCGAGAGTAAAGGGCTATTGCAAACTAATCCGACGTGAATGCTGGAGCTTCTAAAATCTTCACCAACTTTCAGTGCACTAAAGTCTGCAGACATGTTGACAGGTTAGGTCTAGTTTTAGTGCAACAGAATCTACTACTTATTTTTGTGTAAGCTTGGTTGTGAGGTTGTCCTGGTAGCCTTTGCAGGTAAACAGAGCGACTCCAATGCACACAGACGCACACACACAGCCATATTCTGTCTTATCCTTTCATACATGTGTGCTCTGTAGCAATGAAGCGGCTATAGGATTACCAGTGTGGCTGTTATCCTATTACCAGACAGAGGTTGTAAGCTGTCATCTGTGTATGATATCAGACAGCCCAAACAAAGGAAGGTGTCTCTGTCCCACTCAGACACGCACAATGAACATGAGCGCACACACACGGCCTCGATGTACGTTCGCACCTGTACATTCCTCGTCTTGAATTTCGCTCGTGGCGTTTACAAAACATTACGTCTACAGTTCGAGGAGGCGGCGCTCGGTTGTGTAGACGGCGGGTTTCCGGATCGGGTTCGGTGTCATGAGGTCACCGCGTTTAGGGTGAAGGTTGTTGCAGACGGCAGGATGCAGGAATCGATGGGACACTGATGGATTTGCAGTTGAGCCTTACTGCTCATAGCTGCAAACCCTGCGCTTAAGTAATCGATACCTCAACGCCAACAAATAAACTTTGAAGTTCCTCTCCCTCCGCTCCGAGCCTTGGCAAGCCAAAGAGAGGAGTGGCTGCGAACGTACGTGATTATGAGTTGTAGGTGAATATGTGTACGATGCACATCTATATACAAGCGGAAACCCACACAAGAACTCTGGCAGAGCAAACCAGATGTACAATATGTCTTTTTCTAAGTCATATCTGTGTTTTCAGTTTAGTTTTATGACTGTTTTTACAGCCCCCTTAATGCGGTTGCCGCTGTGACTCACTGGTCATGGACTAAAATAAATTTCCTTCTGCCAAAAAAAAAACAAAACACGACTGCATCTCCTCTTATTTTATTATTTTATTTCGCCAGACACAAAGCCTGTCAAGGAAGTCTTTGCAAATAAAACAGTTTCTCTGCTGTCAGTGCCTGAGCGTCTTTTGATCAGCGAGGAGCTGGAGTAAAAATAGCAAGAATAGTGTTTTCGTCATCAGTTCTGTGAGGAGCCAAGACAGGCCGCCCACCATGCAGCCTGCTGTGTACCTGCTGCAGCACACAGCTGAGGGGAAGCTGCCACTGGCCTGATTACAACCTGCTTTGGAAGCGACAAGACGTCTTAGCTGTCTGCCCTGGAAGCTTCTCCCTCTGGTCTTGTAAGCCTCAGCAAAACATGAATGCTGATTATATGAGTGCAGATGTGCTCCAGTTTGTAATAGCTTAGTGAGGGTTGCATTCGATCTCTGAAGGCAAATGTGCATCCGCTGGTTGATTCATCCAAAACTTGGGTTACAAATAGAAATTGAAATCAGGTAACGGTTAAATCGAGATCAACAGTTCATTCCTCTAACATCTTTATGGCCGCCAGCTTTATTTGCAGTTTGATTATCTACAAGTCACAATAAGGAAGTTAAGCTTTAACTGTTTTGTAATTGCAGAACAGATAGAAGAGAACAAACCATGTAGTAGGGTGACAATCAGTATGGATGTTTTGCTTGTCTGTGCATTACGAAACAGAAGTTTGAGTTTGAATAATTACAATAACTAAATAAGTATAGTGAACCACAACATAGGAATGCACTTCAGTAGGTCCTAAGTATACGTAAAGAGTTGCAGTTTACATTCCTGGTAGACATGAAACAAGGAACTGATGAATTGAGTAGAGATGCCTGATGTTGTGCTTTTGCTGATATCTAATATGCCAAATTTCGAAATAATTTTAGCCAATTGCCAGTGTCAATATATTACATGCACATACTTTTACTATGTAATTGTTGAGAACATCAAGTCTCCCCTGTAGAGGAATTAACTGTTGTGGTGATGGCCCGCTGCCAGGAGCAGATAAGAAAACTATTTCAACTTACATACAGGACACACCTTTATTTTTATGTAACACTGACAATAAAGTTGACATTTTATTGATATTTTGTCTGCAAGCATTTATCTGCCAATACCGACAACGTGATGATATCATAATGCTTCCCAAGAACTCACCGACACAAAATTAACTGGCAGCTATTTGGACAATTGTTCAGTAGTTTGAAGCCTTTTTGACACAAGTAGTGTTGTGGCTGAAATGGAAGTATGTATAGAGCTGAATATAAATGACTTTAGTCTCTTTACGGTTCCAGAAATATCTCAGCATCGACTGAATAAAATTTTGTGGACGTTGATGAACTTCCCTAAAGCAAAAGTACGAGTGTCATGTTTGTGGTTGTAAAGACTGCTGGATAAATTGCAATAACATTTAGTGCAGATGGTCACTTCCCCGTCAAGATGAATCTGTAATGTTTCATGTCGCACCATCCGTTCAGAATTTTAATTTTGCAGACCCCCTGCAGTGTAAATCAAGGTTCTGTGTCAACTTGTCTGTATGGTGTGTTTTTCATATGCTAGAAGACACATGAGTGGAAAAAGCAGTTAATGCCAGGGAGGAGTATTTCCACCTCAGAACTACAAAGCACAAATGTCTCAAAAACACAGACTCAGACTTCCGGAAGAAACCCAAGGAACCAATTCTGTCTACATGCAGGATGGAGTTTCTGTCATTCTTCATCATTATTCTGATTCAGAATCTGTTTCCAAGTCAAACATGTTTGACTGAAGAATTCCAATATTACAGCAGAGCTGCAGCAGAGTCTTAGGTGAGCTGGTGTGCTCGAGCTGCAGCAAATGGTGGATTGGTGGGTGTAGAGAGAGGCGTGGACTTTATGAACCTGCACATTCTAGTGGAAGCAAAATTGTAGCGTCACATTTAAGCTATTTTAAGGCAGATGGAGAGTATTTTCATAGAAATCTGCTGGCAGATTTGAAGATTCATGCTTGAGTTTTTGTTAAGATTATGTTTTTAAATGATGTTAGGCATTTTCCATTTATCAGCACAAAGATTATTCATTCATTCATTTGAACTTTTCATTATTATTTCTATACCCTCGCTGTACATTGAGGTATAGAGGTATGAAGTGAAGCACAATTGTAAGCCTGAATAAACAATATAAATAAAAATATTAAAAGGCAATGTTGGTACAACCACAAGATTTTAAAAACAAATAGAACAAGAACACCTGAGGTAAAATAACATGCAATTAAAATTCTGGATTGATCAAAGGATAAAAATGAGTCAAGCTTCAATTTGTTCTGCAGGTTATTCCAGATTTCAGATGCACATTCAGTAAAACTGGATCCTCCGAGCTTAATAAAAGCAGCACACGCCTGTAATGTAATCCAGTCATTTGAGTGCATGTGTGGTAAGAGCTGCAACTAGCAATTATTTTTGTTGTCAATTAATCTGGCGAATATTCCTTCAATTAGTCACTTCGTTGTTTGGCCTGAAAAGTGTCAGAAAATGATGAACAATGTCAATCAGAGTTTCCCAAAGTCCAAGATGATGTCTTTAAATGGCTTTTTTTTGTGCACAACCCAAAAATATTCAGTTTACTGTCATAGAGGCGGAAAGAAACCAAAACAGTTTCACATTTAGAAAGCTGGAATCAGATATTTAGATTTTTTTTTTTTAATTACTCAAAGGGGTTAATAGATTTTCAAAATAGTTGGCGATACATTTAATGGTTGACAACTGATCGATTAATCAGTTAATTATTGCAGCTTTATTAAGGGCCCACATTAACAGACAGTAACGACGTATAGTAATAGAACAGAGTGAGGGCCACCCAGCCTCAGCAGAGGATTGTAATTATCATCAGTAATAAATCTCAAGAGTCATAAATAGTCTTCAAGGGCTTAAGAGTTGCCACTAATGCATGCATGTATAAAACCTCACCACAATCCAACACTGACAGAAAAGTTACCTCAATACGATTTTTTAATTCATCAAAAATAAGTTTGCACAATAAGTTTTACTGAAGTGACAAGATTATGTTTAGCTGCTGCCCTGTTTCCCTGTGACATCGATACTGTAGAGAAGCTAAAGTCAAGGAGAAGACAGACCATTATTCAAATTGGGAAAATGCCTTTTTTTTTAATTATTACTGTTTAGGTTATTGTGGCAGCAAAATCAGTTTGTTCGGCCTTGCAACAAATGCTAAAGGGGTAAATGCACGAACGCTGCAGGTAAAGCTAGGTATGCATGTGAGTGGTCATGTCTAAGTGGAAGTCTGACTCTCAAACACCTGAGAAGTTTAATGAAGCTCCTCGTCAGGCAGACAAACATTCCAGTGTGACATTAAGAAGCTCCCTGATGGCTTCAGGCTAGAAGGTGAAAGATGGAAGAGTAAACCGAGACGTGAAGTCATGATCCCCCGCCCGCCCATCTCTGTAGACTTTTCTCCTTCTGTCAGTTTAATTCCACACACACTGAAGTCACACCTGCATCACTCTGACCGTATATTTATTTAGCCATCATCTGAAAGACCAAAGGGCAGTCCACGTAAATCAGGAGAATGATGTCATTGTTTTTGATGATTCCTAAGAAAACAGAGGCTTGTGATGGGTGTATACCTCCTGCCCGCTCCGTGTCTACTGTAAATCGCCGTCTGTGTCCATTTCTACGCTCACGTTTTGTCCATCAGCCTCCTCCACCCCTAATTCATAAGTAATGACCATGCAGCAGGCAGGCAGAGCGCCAGGCAGAGCAGCCGAGCAGACATGCTGGCTGGCCAGGCCTCGTCCCCGCGGACCAGAGCCACTTATCTCTCACAATAATGACATATGCATCGACTGGTTTAAGGAAAGAGGCTAAAAAGAGACCCAGGATTTGGGAAGTGTCACCGTTTTTTCTCTTTTTATATATTAAGTGTCACAGACTTGATTGAGTGACTGATTTCAGCTGCTGAATACCCTGAAAACTACTAATACTGGCATTGTTTAAACAAGCCAGTTCAATCACAATCATGAGTCTGAATGTTTTTATTTACACCACATAAAGAAATGATCAGATGCTTGAACAACAACATTATCTCCAGCTCATCTGGTTCTTAAGCCATGAACAAGGTTTGGTTTTCACATTTATTGTTGTGATCCCACCTGGAATTTAATTCCATTTTAACGCACCATTATTTTTCCCAATCACGCAATACATACTGTATCTCATTGTGCTGTATAGTAGCCTCACTTGGCTACTACTGTAGCTCCATAAATAAAATCAAACATGCATAAAATAACCAGAAAATTGTTCAAAAGGTGGCCCTGAGCTGCTCTTTTTCTTTACCTCGACACATTTCATTCATGTTCAAATTGAGTCCCTCGGTGTAGACTTGAGGACGCAGCAAAAATTGGTGTCTAATGAATTTATTTTTAGGTATGTAAATCGAATGCTTTGAAGCACTGACACAAAGAGAAACTCACAGTGAATCTAGAACTGTCACTAGTGTTTTTATGCAGCTGTTTAGATGCTCACCAGACATATGATAACTTAAAACACAAGCCCTAAAATAAATGTCTCTGCTTGAATGCTTCTTCCATTACATCAAACATTACATCAAACATTTAAACACAGTGCGCTGACTTTTTACTCAGAACCCAGATTTATTTCCAAATGAAGTGATAAGTTATCTACCAGCTATTGCCAGACTTTTTTTTCTCAGTAACTGTTTTACCAAATTCTGGGACACAAGAAAAGCAGAATAATTGGTGAATGAAATCAGATAAAACTCACATCGTTAGCAAATATTGGTAATTAAAGTGGGACTAAAATGTTACCCTGTGGAACACCACAAGGTATGCGTATTATTATGGTGTTTTTATGATCCTATTTTTGTTGCACTGGAACTCAAGTGATGTCACTTTTGTTCCTTTACATGTGCAATGTTTAGGAATGTCATTAAAGCTTCTTGATCTTGAGTAATAACATGCTGAGACAGACGAGGATTTGCAACCTGAGTCCTGAACTGAACTGTTCACACCAGTTGTGTCCTTAAAACACCTTGTGTTTGTGTTGAGCACATTCAATGCATAAAGGGCTTTGAACAATCATTGAATGAAATTCAGCATCAGAGAGTAAAATGATAATTAGAATGTTAGAAACAAAGTTTTATAAAAGATAAAAACATTGAAGTTTAAACAGAAAAGTAATGATGTGTGCAAAGTGGGTAATGAATACATTAAAGATCATTAAAAACTCATCTATTGTCAGAGCATTAACTGAAGTTTATAAGGAATTGTGTACATTTTTGTGGCTCCCAAACAACTTGTCATTGAAGCATCGCAGAATCAAGATAAATTGCTTAAAATGGATGCACTTTTTATATATATATAAAAAACATTTATTATTAAACAGGAAGCTGAGTCCCTGCTTGAACTCTTCAAATGGTATTTAATATACACACAGCGTACTACATAGTGTACAATTTTTGAAAAGTGTTTGGACGATACCTTTATTATTTACAAAACCATAGCCGTTATAGACTTCTAGTTTGACATATTTATACCTTATAAGTTACCAGAGAGTTTGACACCTGTGTTTGTGTGATCGTTTTGGGTAAAGAGCAGCTTGTGTTGCATTTTAGTAAATCGCAGATGATTTTACACAGATTGCAGAAAAGGGTGAAAGAGAAAAAAATCCTCTAGCATCATTGCATCTGTTAGTTTGGTCAAAAGCAAGTTTCCCTGCACCCATTTGATGCTCCATAAGTCCTTGAGCAATCCTGCAGGGCACATTAGCAGCTGTAACCAAACTTAAGTTTCACTGTATAACACTGAACCCATCTGCTTTAAAGGATGTGACACGTTTTTTAAAATTCAGAATTTCTGTATTTGCATCAGTGTGTCATGATTTTTTGAGAATCATTCCCATGTTTAAAAATACTTCAGCATCAAAGCTGTTCACAGAATTGATCATACCCACCATCACCCTGCTGTCCTGTGCTTGTGTAAAAGGAGGAGGAGCATTAACACCTATAAAAAGCTCTGTAGCTGTACAAGAGGGATGATTCTCCTTGACCGACCTTATCTTTCCCCCCCTCCTCTCTCAGATGACATGGCGTCCTCAGTACCGCAGCTCCAAGTTCCGCCACGTGTTCGGTAAGGCCGCCACCAAGGAGAGCTGCTATGATGGCGTGCCAATCACACGCAGCGTTCAGGACAACAACTTCTGTGCTGTCAACCCTCGTTTCCTGGCCGTCATCACCGAGTGTGCCGGGGGAGGGGCCTTCCTGGTGCTGTCCGTCCATCATGTGAGTATCTGCACCTCATGGCAGGTTTACAGATCGATAGCAGACTTTTAAAGTGGTACGTGCACTACATCGTTCCAAATGCAGATAAGCGGTGCAGGGATATGGTGCTGCTGTATGAAACATTGTGAAGAACTGTGACAGAGAAATTGTGACAAAGGTGGTGAGAAGCAAGGATCAGATGGACATAGCTAAAAAAAAGTTGTGTCTTACAGAAATCTAATCTCTTGTCATGTCGTATATCAGTGTCATTGTCGTGAGAAAGTTAAAGCTAGAGTATGCAATGTCTTCCAGAAGGATTTTATGTTATATTTGTTGGAAACCTCTTGACATCCTGACAGCAATCGATAAATCAAGTCTTGTTATAATAAAAAGAAAAATATCAGGTGTCTGTGGCAGTCACAGGCCTGTGAAAAGCCTGTTAAATCCCTGCATCTGATCTGCAGGAGATGACTGGAGGGCCTACCTGCCTGTTTAACTATGTGCTTAACAACATGCGTGCACTCTGACTGTGCACTTGTTGCATGTTGCTGGAGTCTTCCACAAATCTAGGCGGACACATAGCAAGAGCTGGTCAGCACAACGCACAAGAATGGCAAATAAAATACATCCACAATTTACAGATCCATCTGAACCTGCAACATCTGGCACTGCTAAACATACCAGACGATCATGGTCATTTGTATTTGTACATCTGTCAGTGCTCCTTCAGTTCCATGTATTTGTGCCTGCATTGTGTTTTAGTTGTAAGCAAGTTTCGTTGATGGTCTTTGTGGACACTGGATTTCAACAGGATGTAGTGGTATCACGTATTTGATTTTAGACTTTAGGTACTTTCAATATGCTGCTTTCTGCTCTCAACCACCATTTTCTCTTGTGGATCAGGTATCTGTCAGTACTCAGACTGCATGTGTTTTGGAGCCCTGAGGGGACGGGGTGGGATTTTTTCTGTTGCATGCTTTAAAAATCCAGCATACTCCAGCGTTTTTTTTTTACAATCCCTTATACAAGAAATGTTTCTAGAAACCTGCAGCTTCTGTGTCGACTCATAATGCTATGGTTTACTAGGGATTATTTGGGAAATAACTACACAAAAATATTCCTTTTTAGAAATCGGTTCACCTGAGCACAGTGTCAGCCCGAACTATGAAGTGAAATGAAACAAGACTTCAGTCGATAAACACTTGACTACTTGTATAAGTAATAATTTGTTCTACAGCATTAAGTCACTTCCTTTTCAGTATCTTGGCAAACTTGATGAAAAGAAAAAAAAATTTCCTCTTACAATATTTACATCAGCTGTTTTTTTGTTTGTTTTTTTTTACTTAAATTTAATAGTGTTGTCAAAAAATTGACTTTTCAATACATATCAATTTTAAATATTTGAAACAGTTTGAATGGTAATTTTTCGCAATATTGATAAAACTGATACCAGATACGCTTTAAAAAAATTTTTTTTTTTTTAGAATTGGTCCGAAAGTTGTCTGTTTTCATTTTTAAGAGAGCCCATAAATTGCAACTCCATGTTTTTTTTTGTGTGTCTGTTTTTTTTTAATAAAGCTACTCTGTGCACATTATAGACTTTGAAATCAAGTTGTATTGTCCTTTCTTTTCTGGTTTCTTTTTTCACATTAACTAAATAGGCCTCTTTTAAACCTCAAGTTCTTCCCACAAACACGTATCACACTGCTTTAAGTTTTTCATCCAGCGAGCTGCAGCAGGCCAGGACAAATCAGAATATTTTCTCTTATAACTGAAATCAACCTCGACTGTTTTTGGCCTTTTTTGCTTTTTGTCGGGCAATGATTTTTTTTTTTTTTCTAGTTCAAATTCTTCTGAGCTGATAGTTCAGCCTTTCTCGTGGCTTCTTGTCGTTCCTGCATGCACAGCACACCTGGAAAAGACAGCCCTGCTCTCAGATTATAAATAGCACAGCGCCAGTGCAGCCAAAAGAAACTCTACATATCAGGAAGCCTCCGTCAGCTCATTCACTACGACCTAAACATCACATGTGGTCTTTTTCTTCCCTTCAGTACTCCGTCTTATCTCCCTTTCTCACTCCGGCTTATGCGTGATCCATCAAACGCTCTCCCAGACATTATTTATGCACATTATCACATCCACTAGTCTTATCAATAACAATAGTGAACTCACGAATTATTGTCCTCACTCGTGCGCTGCTTAAATTTACAGTCTGGCTCTACATCTCAGAGCCAGGGTGATTCATCAGGCTGAACACCTCTCTCTGTACTTCGTCCCCCTCTCTCTCTCCGTCTGAGTTATCACCACCGTCCTGCCATGGCGAGGAATTGCATAGGAGCTCAGGAATGACATAACTCATCCTTTGACCCCCTCTTTCCCTCCTGTGAAGGCAGCGGAGGAGGTAAAACTTCAGCCCTCCTCCCCTCCTCCATCGCCTTCACAGCCCACCTCCGTGCGTTTGGACAGATAAACTATTGTTCTGTGGAGAACGTAGGTAACGCTCATAAACCCAAGACCAGAAGTTCATCTTCTGTGTGCATGTGTCATGTTTGCTGGAGGCACAGATCATGGTTACATCACTCCCTCGCCCCAAACACACCTCACCTGCATAATAATCCAGCCTGCAGGCGCGTATGTCATTTAAAAGGAGGCTCTGTTCATACAAACGGCCTAATTAGCGGTCGTGTCGAGGCAGAATATCTTCAGTGACTTTTGTAACAGGATCATCCAGGGATGCACATTGTTTTGCATAATTCCAGCTTCAGTTTGATCAGTTTGATGTCGTACACGGTTTGGCTGCTTGCAAACTGGTAAACCTGCCCTAACCTGCACAGATCCACATGTGCTTTAGAAACTTACCCTCACTCTGTGCACCTGGCTGCTTGATTTTTGAAGCTGCACCATTATTTTTATATTAAAGGGCATTGAATCATTTTAAACATCAAAATCTTGTCGAGTGAAAAAGCTGCAGCAAATCTTTTTGAAGGAGCTGTGTGAAATCTGCTAAATGTCCTTAAGAGACATCGCTTGAGTCAGCAGTGCTTTGAGCTGAACATGAGTCTGGAAGAGAGGAGAAAAATCTTGTTCTGCTGCAATGATTTCTTTTTCTCTTTTCGCTCTCTATAGTGACTTTGGCAATGTTGTAGAAGTGCAATGCTGAATCAGTAGAACACTCTATAAAAGGTGTAGCGTGTAGGATTTAGTGACATTCACCAGGGAGGTTGCAGACTGCCACCAGCTGAACCCCCCTCCCTGACAGTGGTAGCTAAAAACGCTAAAGGCACTCTATGGAGGTGTTCGGTTTGTCTGCACTGGGTGACTGCAGAAAGATGGTGGTGCAAACTTTTTGGGAGCCGACCGCCTTGCTTTGCAGATATGAAAGGCTCAATCTAAGGTGAAGAATATACAAAGATTCTTATTTTCAGATCGTACACAGTGATCCTGACAGATCCACAGATAATTATCATCCAGATCTGCAGTTTCATTCAGATCAGTGGAGCGTTTTAGCGTCTTTGGGCTCATTGTTTAGGTTTTGGTTCTGCATTGCAATCTTGAGTGTTGTTTTCAAGCACAGGAAACCAACCATTTACAAGGAAAAAAAAAAAAAAGGCTCTGATAAGCTGAAAATATGCTATCTGCACAGCAACAAACAGACGCGAGCAGATGGTGAACACAGTCATAGATTTCACAGGTACAGATCTAGATATTTACCTCAGGAGCTGGTGGAGAGAAAAACACTGACTAATGTTACTCAATGTCTTGCTAAATAAACACCACAATCTTATTAGGTGTAAATACATCAGTGTTGTAGTTCCAGTTTGTTCACCTGCCCTCAAGTGGCCAAAAGATGTGAGTTTGTCACACAGTGACTAATGTCAAACTGCAGCCGGAGCTCTGTGAACGCTCTGCTCTGTAACAAGGCTGCATGCAGAAGTCAGGAAAACAACTTTCATGTGGGCAGCAGCGTCTACTTGGACTGAACTACAAAAAATCTCTCAAATTACAGGCACTAGTTCCCCTCAGTGATTTTAAGGACATGACCTTAAAGGGCATTCAGAGGACTGCTAGCACAAATGTATTATTCAAAATTTTACTTTTTAATGTTTTTAAATACCTTCTTGGTTTTTCTTTCTCGTCCTCCTCATGTATCTTGGTCTGTGCTGCTCCATAATTATGCTATATTTTCATTTTAAGAGACATCTTGGTTAGATAAAGTTTGAATCTCCATTTATAGTGGCTGGAAGGTGATTAATAACTTGTGAACAGTTTTTATCTGGCAGGAACATGCTGCTGGTTTGAGTTAACATCTTCTAACTCCAGTTTTGCAGGTCTTACCATATTTATCTTCTACTTCAGGGACACATTCCCATACACATTGATCAGCCATAACTTTAAAACTACCTGCCTCATATGCTGCAAAAACAGCTCTGACCCATGCAGTCAAGTAGATCAGCTTAGCACAGAGTTGTTAGCTGCAATATTACGTTTCAGTTTTAGGACCACAATTCCAGGACCCTTGTTTTTTACGACAGGGCCACCTACCGAAGTAGATGATTGCTTAAATTTGCGACTTTTGACTAAAAGTTGTTTTTGCCCGGATACCACATTGTCCAAGTGTCTGTTGTTTTAAAAGGTTTGTTTGACCCAAAGACTACTTCCTATCCTGCAATTTGACTTTGTTGACAAGAGTTGCATGTCAGCAAATTTGTTTTGTTAGTATGATCAGGTAGGATGGAATCACATGCTATGGCCTTCATATTTATTGGATCTCAAACAGATATTTTAAAGCAGAGAGGCAAGACAGAAGGACAGCTTTTGGTGCATTCTCACTCCGATTGTATCGAAGTTCCACTCTCTTGGTTATCCCTTCAGTAGCTGTCGTGAAAAAACAAGGGTCCCATAAACGTGGTCCTGAAACTGCAGCCTCCTCCTCCTCTGCAGACACATGCTGCTTGCAAACAGAGACTACAGGAAGTTTTTGCACTCATCCAAGAAATAGCCTCACACACAGCTTACAATAACACAGTGAATTGTCATTTTTTTAATTTAATTTTTGTACAGTTGCAAGAAAAGAAGTTGTTTCAGTTAGGCAGATTTTGTTGCGCTTGCTCGCTGTTTCAAGTCTTTGAAGTCGACGCTACGCTCACCTACTGCCCCTTATTTAACAACCACACATCAGAGGTGGTATGAACTGTCTCCACAAGAAAGCAAATAATGCTATTTCCCCAAATGTAAGGCTATTTACAATGATTTGTGTTGTAATTTTTATTTTTGTGTGTTTCGATCAGACGGGTAAAGTGGACCCTACCCACCCTCGAGTGTCGGGCCACAGGGGCAACGTGTTGGACATCAAATGGAATCCCTTCGACGACTACTGCATCGCCTCCTGCTCCGAGGACACCACGGTTTGTACACACACAAACGGCGCATATTTAAAATGGTTTGCTGGGCGTCTTATCAGTATGGTGGAATATGAGCGTGTTGCAGCAGGGAGATCATTTTATTACCTTGCTGTTTAGCCTTCAAGAAGAAGTAGAAGTCATTCCTCACATTCCTCCGCTCTGACCTGGCACCGTGGCTCAGTGCAAATCCCAGTAGACAGAAAGAAAGAGTCAACAAGTTTTGCTTTCTCTTTAGAAAATGTGTCTCAGTCGTTCTCCATATTCAGTCGCATTATATCTTGCTGCACTTAACCGGTTGATCGTTGTGGTTGTTAATTTGTGTGTGCGTTTGCAGGTGAAAGTGTGGGAAATCCCTCCTCATGGTGTGCTGAAAAACCTGACAACACCGTGGAAGGATCTGCAGGGTCACAGCCGCAGAGTTGGCCTCATCGAGTGGCATCCGACTGCTAACAACATCCTCTTCAGTACGGCCTATGACTACCAGGTAACACACACACACACACACACACACACACACACACACANACACACACACACACACACACACACACACACACACACAGACACTGCCTCTGACACAAGCTTGGAGTCTTTTATGACTAAACGACTCTAAGGCAATAAGAAAAGCACTCAGCATGTACTGTGACCTACTTTAAGCACCTACATACCACAATGCAACCAAACAGGTCACAGCTATTCAGCCTATTCCTCCACTTATAGCTAATTTACAAGCAGCTAATTGTCTCAAGCAGCTAAAGGATCCTTGCAAACAGCATCACGAGCCCTTCACAGGTTACACCAAGAATCCACAACGTTTTTACGCTCAGATCATCAAGTCGCGTCCGAAACACCACCCTCAGATGAAGTCAGGAGACTAAATGTACATCTGGACTGCGTCTGAAAATTGCTGTAATTTCATGAAGCCGATAATCAAACAGCAAGCTTGCTTCATGACGCGATCGGCCAGGTGTGTGGAAGTTGTGGATGCTGCCTGAGGAAACACACTAGCTTGGAGCGCACTGCGATCCAGATCTACTCACCTGAGTCATTTCTGTGTTCGATGTGCCATTTAATGCCTGTTTTCATGAAAATATTGATAGATTTGTGCAAGTAATTACTCCGTCACAATCCTTTCTGAAGTGAGAAAGCAAGCAGGGTTTGAAATTCTGTTCAAGCTCAAACAACTTATCTTTTTGTACACACAACTGAGTGCATCAGCACAAATTCTTTTGAGATAAGAAAAGTATGCACTGTTATGCCCATTAGTGCAACTTTAGTGTATCGCTCTCTGTGGTGACATGCTCAGCAGCTGGTCTTTGAGCGTGACTGTAATGGTTAGAATCACTTTTATCTGTAATGTGAATGTTTCATTCTTTGTACAATGTAGTTTTGTTGTAGTAAACCCCAGTTTTTAAAATACAGAACCAAAGCCTGCCATTCATTTTAAACTTGTAAAGTAAATAAATGTGAATAATGAATCATAAATTCACATACATTTATAGTAACATTTTACTTCTATGCTTAAAAACTAAAATTCCAACTTTAGTTCTTTCCTCTCTGATTGTTGGTTGCTGAGTCTCTCCCTGTTTTTTTTTTTACACCTGCAGGTGATGATCTGGAACCTGGACTGTCCAGAGCAGGTGATCAAAAACCCTGTGCGGACCATCAGCCACCACACAGACGTAGTCCTGTCCATGTCTTTCAACACGGATGGGAGTCTGCTCGCCACCACCTGCAAGGACAGGAAAATCCGACTGATGGAGTCGCGCTCAGGAAACCTGCTGCAGGTATGGCTGTCACTGTTGTGGTGGTTTGGATGTTTATCTGGTTGCGCGCTCACATTGTGGGGATGCAACTTCTTCTGGGGGACAAAAACTATGTTTTAGCTGAAATTATTTAACTTTAAGGTGAAGACTTGATTTTAAGGTTACTGTAAATTTAACATTAGTTTTCCAGTCTTCTTATTTTGATAGGCTGTGACTACACTGTAAAAAAACAAAAGGTAGAGTTAACTGTCAACAATAGGATGATCAAATAGTAAACCTGATAATAATACCAGTAAATTCAGTCTTCAGCTCAAATAGCTTTTTCTATTTAGTTTTAGGGACTTTGTCAGCTTCTCATTCAATGTTTCTGTGGTTTTCAGTCATCACATTTTTTCACTAGAAGTTTTCTCATCCTATTAAAGCATCTTGTTTACTTTAAACAGCACTGAACAGCATCTTGTTGCTGAGGGAAATCACAGCAACATACAATCCATGTGAAAATCTGTTTCAACTGGCAAGCTTCTTTTGAAAAAGAAGATTATTGAACCATGAACCTTTGTTCTGGAGTACAGTAGCATCACAGCCAATATTGCGTAAGTGGGAGTTCCCTTTCCCAGCCCCGGCACCCAGGCACTCATCCAGCACCACACAGCCAAAACTGACACCTCTGGCCCGGCCTGGATCACAGCAGAGCTCCACAGACCTCTGGGTCACCAGCCAGTGACTCACACCTCTTATTTTAGTCTGGACTCACTTTCTTCTCCTGCCAAACGTGCTCATATAGACACATAAGGAACATTACAGCACAGTGCTTTAATGCTGATGTTTACAAAGCTGTTCTTGTCAGAACATTGTCCTTTTGTTTCTCTTAAAACAAGTGTTATAATGTACATACTTGTTCTTCGTACTTACTTAAATGTTAACTGTCACGTATATTGTGTTTGCAGGAGGCCAGCTCCAAGACGCACAAAGCTGGTAAGGTGTTATTCCTTGGAAACCTGAAGAAGCTTCTCACATCAGGCACTTCACGCTGGAACGAGCGACAGATAGCTCTGTGGGATCAGGTGAGAGCAGCAGCACAGCCACTGACCCTGAGACAAAATAATCTAGTCGTGAGAAAACTTATTGGCAGGAGTTGTACCAAAAAAGACTAATCTTCCTAGAAAGACAAGCGAGAGATCTGCACACTTCTGTATTTCAGTGATAGTTGCTGTGCAGCCTTTTGATTGATAGAAGCATCTTTTTTTCAAATCTCTCGTTGTGTATACCGTTGATCTCTCTCAACATTGACAGTCATGTACAGGGGATCAATAAAATATAATTACATGTCAGTTAACTGTGGAAATGTTTCCCCAAGTTCAACGTGATGTATTCAGATAGATTATTGGATTATTGATCAACAACTCCAAACCCAAAGCTGTTCGTTTACTGACACGTTTGACTAAGAATAGCAGAAACTCTCCAACTGGAAAGCTGCACCCAGCAGATGTTTGACACTGTCGCTTGAAAAGTGATAAATGGCCTCCTCATGGAGACAGTAAGAGCTCTGATGGTCCACTTAGCTGTAGCTTGGAAGTAGGAACAACCAGAGCATCCAAAGCAGCAGTTTATGACTTTACTAGAAGAAGTCAGCTTTTTGGGAAACATTTTTATTCAGATAAATATGATGAAAAGGGATATACAGAGATGTATCAAAAGCAGAAGTCCATGTAGGGAATCCACATAAGAACAAAAGAAAACCAACAAATGAACACAATCAGAGAATCAATACAATTTAAGTAATGATCAGTATATTAAATCACACCAGAGAGGTCCTCATGAAAGCCTCTGAGCATTACAGAGTCAGAGAAGAAGGAAAATTGATATAGAAAGAATCTAACTATTTAATATATATATAAAAATTCAAATAAATATAAAAGCAAAGTCGATGGTTCACCAGAGCTCTACATTTTTAAATATATTGAGCAAATACTTGGCTGTATATGAATAAGTACAAACATGTAATGCACAGACACAGCGATTCTTTTTCTTACATCTGATCATTAGTGGTGGAAACACTATTTAATGCTACTCTACGTCTGTGCTCTACTACATTTCACAGAGTAATTAGGGTCCGAGGACTATTATACTTGTTACTCCACTACATTTCTTTGACACATAGAGAGACTGATCAGATTCAGATCACACACATGAACCACTGAATAAACATACAAAATACATTTAAAACTTTGAAGTGTCACCAAGGAATGATTTCCTCTCTGAATATCTCAGCTGGTTTTATTTAAATAATTTGGTTACTTGCAAAATTATTCAACATTTTACAGAAATGCAAAGATTAGAGGAAAGTCCTCTAAAGATGAAATTAGATTTCTGTAGCAGACCTTAGTTTTTTTTCTACCAATGAATCCTCTCACCACTGTCCAGGTTGATCTGCTGAGTTTCTGCAGTATCTATTTTATGCATTTTGCTAGTCACACTTTTAGACTTTTAATTCAGTAAAACATGCAGGGCTTGTTTTGTAATTGCAGTTTGTGGATAAGTAATTTTAGGGAATACTTCTTTCACCAAGGATGCCTCTAAACTCCTCTGAGCCTCTCAGGGTATCAGGTGGAGCTGCTCTCTCAAACACAACTCTGCCACCTAGTGGATAACAGGCACCAGTTCAACAGCTCAGCAGTTTACCTGGACAAGTGCCTAACCCCTGTCCCAAACTAGAGCCGGAGTTGTTTTCTTGGTTACCATGTCGTCACCCAGCAGCCTCGTCACACCTGACCGTCTGTAGTAATAGTTGGCGCCGGCGGCTGGCGAGCTGCGACGTGTGAGAGTGTATCGTGTGTGGAGGATTAAGGCGAAGCATGGATTAGGGATTGAGCACTCTCCAGTTTTAATTCAGCACTGGAGAGTGCTTCTTATGCAGCACTGGATTTTAAATGACAGTGTTTTTATACAAGGGGGATTTTTTTTTTATGTTGTACACATCAATGGTGCTTAAGTGCTTTTTTTTTTTAAACAGTTTTTGTGTGTTTGCAGGATGATCTGTCCGTGCCTTTGTTGGAGGAGAACCTGGACGGTTCTTCAGGGGTCCTCTTCCCTTTCTATGACCCCGACACACACATGCTCTACCTTGCTGGGAAGGTGGGTGTCAGGAATACATGCAAATTCTAATCATGTTGCAGCATTCATACGGAAAACAACGTTCGCTGTCATTGTCACAAAAAACTTTGCTTCATGTCTTTTTAGGGTGACGGAAATATCAGATACTATGAGATCAGCTCAGAGAAACCGTACATCCACTACTTAACAGAATACCGCTCACACTTACCTCAGAAAGGACTGGGTAAGACGCACAACATGCTGCCGACACACCTCTCCAGCATGTCCCATTTAACTATTTAATGGGTTCTACTACCTGCCCTTTAAGCCGAATGTATTTAAGGTGTGGCTGTTGATCTCTGTTTGGAAACTCCGCCTGTCTCCTGCCTGTACGTCTCTCGCACCTGTAAGCAAAGCTGCTGTGCAAATAAGCCTGGGATATTTGAATAGTCAAACCAGCTGATCAGACTGATGGCGTGGATTCTGTGAAGTGATGGACACACACATGCACTCACTTCTTAGATTTCAGACTCTAGTTTTACCTGCTTGCTGTGTTTCAAGACAAACTCAAATACAATACAATTTACAAAACTGTTTATTGAAGCAGACAGCAGTCACTTTGTATTATCAAGTTAGCGGGATGCTGGTTAACCTTTAACCACCTGCTGCTCTGACCACAGGTCTGTTTCATTCTGCCCAACTTTCAGCGACTAAGAAAAGTTGCGTTAAGTTACATTATGAGCCTATTGCTAATTATCTTGATGTTCTTAGGGAATTAATTACAAAATATAGTAAGCAGAAAGCAAAATACTTTACAAACAATTAATATAGAACAATGTTAAGAAGTCAGACAGCTCTGTACCTTCAAAACAATGCAGCGAAATCTATGGCAAAGTCCAAATTCATCACAAGAATCTAACAAACAGAATATTCCCTCTGTTTTAGAAGAGCTGGTCGTGAGCTCCTATTTCTGTGAACACATTGTGTTTCTCTTGTGTTCATGCTGTGTGTGTGGTTTGGTATTACTGTAGGTCTTGATTGACACCTTGATTGTTCCACCGCAGTATGATCCTATGTGTTTGATCATTTCACCCTCCGGCCTGTTTCTGTAATTAAATGATGTGATCCATCCGATGCTCTATACGTCAGGACGACGGCACATGGTTCGGCGGTGCAAACTGCTTCGGTTTAAGAACTGATTTGTGTCTGTATTAGTTTTTAACAGTTACAGAGGTTGTGTTACAGGACAAAACCCCAAACCAGCTGATTAATGCCTCAGCCAGAACACTGATTTAATGTTTTTGTTCTGTAATGTCTTCTGTCTGCTGGTGTTGTGTGCCCACATTGAAGCAGTGTGTTATTCATCCATGGGTGTCATCCTGCAGGTGTGATGCCAAAGAGAGGTCTGGATGTGAGCTCCTGTGAGGTTTTCAGGTTCTACAAACTGGTGACAATCAAGAGCCTCATTGAGCCTCTTGCTATGATCGTACCCCGCAGGGTGAGAGACGAAACAAACAACCACAAAAACATCCAACTTTTTTTGAGTTTAATAAATCTAAGAGGCCAAATTAAATGTCTAAATGCGCTGTGTGTGTTTCCAGTCGGAGTCGTACCAAGAAGACATCTATCCAATGACGGCCGGTAACATGCCTGCTGTGACTGCAGAGGAGTGGCTTAGTGGCATCGACAAAGGTCAGAAAAACGAGAGATGAGCGATATTTGTCCATGTCGGCGAGGTTCTGGGGGCTTTTAATTTTTCATTTAGGTTGCTGAGTGTGCGTGCTGTCTTTTAACATTCCTGATTCAAACTGCTTCTTTTCTCAGTTGGATATCAGTGTAAAGAGAATATCTTCACGTTTTTGACTGTTGTTTGGAAAAAGTAAGACATTTGAACATGTGCTGTTGGACATTTGGATGGACCTTTTGCACTACTTGCTAATGTTTTGTTTTAATTACCAATCAAATGGTAAAATTATTAGGAAATCATTTGATCATAGCTGTAAGTTGAAGCCCTAATCATACGATGAGTCATCCTGGTAGCTTTGTCCAAACTCTGTTCTCTGTCTAAACTTTAAAACGAGAGCATTGGGGAACGTTCAGATTAGAACGCAGTCTTTGAATGTGAGTTATTAGTAACATATACAGACAAAGTAACTCATCCTCCTCCTGGTCATTCTCTCTTTGTCTTCTAGGTCCAGTGCTGATGTCTTTGAAGCCTGGAAGTCAAGTAGCAGAGTCCCACTCAGACAGAAAGGGGCTGGTCAACTCACTGGACACTCGCCGCTCTCAGAGCCGACCAGGAATGCTGCAGCTCTCTTACATTCAGGACAAACTGGAAACCAAAGACGGCAAACAGGACAGCGCCCGCTCAGAGGACGACAGGAGTCGGACGCCTCTGAGCAACGGAGAAGACCTTGCACTTTGCTCTCCTCCCAGGACAGAGAATGAGGTGCTGAATGATCCTGGGGTCTCCACCTGCAGGGTCTTCCTGTGTTGTGTTTTATTAGTTTGCTTTGGCATTTTTTACTCACAAAGACAGGATTATAAACCACGTCAGTGTTATTCACTTACAACCTGGTTCATTCTTCTTAAAAGATTTCATTAGTTTTAATGTTTTCAAAAAATCTAAGACAAGATAGATGAATATGCCCTAAATTTCTGTATTATTGACTAATTCTGAAAGTCCTGTGCAGTTTATTGCTAGATACCTGAGACCGAGGTGACACTCTTTTCGCAACACAAAATCCAAATTTTTTTATAAAACATGCAAAGAATTTTCATTGAATTCTATATTTAGTTACTTTGCTTTGAAGCTTTAACTTTTAATACTGAAATAACAAAATGTCACGAGCAAAGAAATGCAGTGGACAGTTTTCAGTCCTGAGTCACCTCTGCAGAGCTTCCAGTCAGGCGGCCCAAACTAGTTCCACCAGTCAGAAGGTTGGAACCATTTTTATTTGGCCTGAGGGGCAAAACCTGGGGCAAAATAAACTAAATTACACTCGTTTGCACCTTGGACAGCATTATAGTGCTGAGGGCAAGTGATCAGTGATCAGTGATGGACAGTATAAAGTACATTTACTCAAGTAAATGAAGCACCTGTACACTTCTTATTACTTTTGAGGAAAATACTTCATATTGAAATCAGATGATATCATCAGTTGATGAAGCCTTTAAACATGGCATTAAAAAAGACTTTTATTATCTTTGTATATCATTATGAGCCATTTTCCAAGCAATGCCTCTCAGCTTTATCTTGTTTCTTTATGAATTACAAATTCATCTCCATCATGATTCAGCAGGTTTGTGACGACGTCAGAATGAAAACGGTGCAAAAAACAGCTGAAAACTCGATTAAACTACCCAACATTATAAAACGCAACTAGAGTTACCGCCACATAACAACCACATTTGAACACCGCTAACTGCTAACCTGTGGACATTTTTATCCTCTCCGAGCTTGTTTCATGTGGACTGTGGCAGCTGTGCAGCAGTGGGACAGTGTGTCTACAGGATGTAATTAGTACATTACACTAACTGTAGTGATGGGGACGTCCCAGTCTCCAGTGGACGTTACACCCTTGATTTATTCCACTCTGCTGTGTGTGTGTGTGTGTGTTTGTCCACAGCTGCGCCTGAAGTTCCACAAGCAGCAGGAGGAGATCCGGCGGCTGAGGGAGCTCCTCAACCAGCGGGACGTGCGCATCAAACAGCTGGAGCTGGAGATTAAGAACATCAAAAACTCCCAGCCTCAGAGCTCGCTTTAAGACTGTCCTGCTGAGTCACCCTCACCTCCTCACAGGGACACATGCATTACTGTACAAACGTACCGCTAACTACATCTTCAGAACCGCGGCACTCTTTTGTCGCCCTGTTTTCCCTCTAATGAGCCCCACATACTCACTGCACAGGGGTGCATTAAACCTTGATTTTATGTTTTTCAGCCTGTCGTTTTGTCCATTCCACACACGGTGCACATATTCTTTGTTCATGTACATACACTTGGAAAACTCTCTGCACCTTCTGACCTTTCCTCCCGTTTTCTTTTGTACGCTTCACAGCTATGCAAGGTTATCGTGATTTTTACCTTTTTTTATGCTCTTTGTCGCTGAGAGATAAAAGGATGTTTGTGCCTGTCTCGACTGAATGACGCGGTGTCTGCGTGTTGTTTGAAAGTCGCTGCAGGGTCGCAGCAGACGTCCTGTGTGATTGTAACATAACAGCACGTTTATTTTCTATGCTTGGTGGTTGTTGTTTTTTTTTTTTTTCTTCTTCCAATATTTAAACTACTGTAAGTGGAGACGGCTGTGGTGTTTGGGGTCTGTGATGACAGATGACTGCGTGTCTGAATGAGAGCGAGCGAAATGAATGATAGTATCGTGATCCCAGCTGTGTTCTGCCAATCCATTAAGCTGCATTTGTTTTTATTCTCTTATTTTTGAACGACTGGATCCATTTCACAGCAGCCAATTCTGTTAACAGATGCCATGTAGCAGTTTGGATGTTAATTTTTAAAATATACTTATTTTAAAAATACGGTCAAGGAAAATGACATTTAATCAAGTACAGCATGTAAAATGTTTTTAAAAAAAGGACAAAATCCTGTTTGTTTTTTTTCCTGATGTGGAGCCACTGTGAAGAGCTGGAGCACCGCACAACTTTTAGGTTAAATTGTGTTCACTCAGCTCTCGTGTATTCATACATACAAAATGTTGTTTTTAAAAAAAAAAAAGTTCCCTCACTGAGGTTTATTGATCATAGTTTATTCATGTCTGATCAGATTCTATAGGAAAATGGTATCTTCTATTGTACTGGACAGTAAAGTTTGAGTAGCTCTGATGAGGTCATAGTAACACAAACATCCATCCATTATCTATACACCGCTTAATCCTCACTAGGGTTGCAGGGGCACTGGAGCCTATCCCAGCTGACTTAGGGTGAAGGCAGGGGACACCCTGGACAGGTCACCAGTCTATCACAGGGCTACACTTAGAGACAGACAACCAAGCACACTCACATTCACACCTACGGACAATTTAGAATCACCACGTAATCTGTGGACTGTGTGGGATGAAGCCGGAGAACCCGGTGAGAACCCACGCTGCACGGGGAGAACATGCAAACTCCACGCAGAAAGATCCTGGGTGTCCTCACCTTCTTGCTGCGAGGCAATGGTGCTAACCACCGCTCCACCTTGTAGCCCTGACACAAACATAAAACTGTAAAACAATATAAATCTGACAGTTTTCCAGGCATTTGAACCACACTCTTTATACCCTTGTAGCCTTTCCCCTGTTCTAGGTGCATGAAATTAATGAGAGACTGTTTTCTTGCAAAATTCAAGTTGAGTATGATGCTTGCATTAACATAAGTCACTAGATTACACACAAACACACACAGAACAGACATGGTAGTCTGGTAACTTTATCTACATAATGTTTTTCACCATTTCTCACTTACTATACCTTGATGTATGCGGATATCACACTACAAAGTTATGTCATAAAGGATTTCTCCACATTTCTCAGATGAAGTTTGCTAGCAGCAAATGGACCTTGAAGGGGATCGATTCGTGTTTCCAAACCCAATAATTAGTCATCAAGCTCAGTTTGAATATCTACAGTCTGACTTCATCTGCTATAAAAGCCATTTGTTACTGATGAAACTCCACAGCAAGCAAGCAATGAAAGATTTTCAGAAATAAAAATAGTTTTACCAGATTCTTGGTTACCTTAGAATACCAATAGAAATTCCCAAGAGGATTTTTCAGCTTTTTCAAAAGACTATTAAAAGAAAACCTCTGTGAGAACATACACAGTGTACGTGAGGTTAATGATAAATCTGCTACCTGTAAACGGTTTATCTAAGTTTCTGCATAAATCTAAACAGAGCAGTTGGTGAAATCCATCACGGTGACTTGTTGAAATGTGTTTTCCCGCAGGGAACTCCTGAATGACGTTCATAGTTTCTTCAACGGTGCAGTCGGACCAGTTTTAACCCTTGTTGCTTTCAGAATTGCGGCAGCTGATTTTGACTTCTACTTTTCAACAAACTCAACATTCCCTTGTCTCTCATCAACTTGTTGAGACAAACAACAGCCTGATGAACATGTAAATATGCGTAGATGCCACTGAAGTGCTTGCAGATATTAGAAAACACAGCAGTGTAGAATGAGCCTAAGATAAGCAGACAGGTACAATATGAATGCATGGCTGTATTTACGTACTCAAAAGCACCACAATGATTTTCTAGATTTGGCACATGTTTCAGGTATCGCATAGAAACTGCCACAGCAACCCGCGCACATACAGACACAGCGGCTTCAATACAATCGCAACGTGTGTGACCCCTTTAACCTCTGGCAGGACGGTTCCAGCACAGCTTCATCTGTGGCTGACTTTTGTCCAGGAGCTGCAGTATCGGGCCAGTTTAAACTCCAGCCGCTGCTGTCAGACGAGTCTCGACACATTCCCACCGTTCTGCTGTTTTTACAGTTGGCCGGTGCTCTTTGCTCAAGGGTTAACTTGGCTGTGAACAATAAACAGTTTGAAGTAACAGGTGTCACCTCCATTTTGCCTATTTTTCATCACAGAATCATTCCGACCAGTTTATTCATGTCCATGAGTTTTAAGTTGGATAATCGATCTGCCTTCAACAAAAGAGTTCTTTATTTTACTTGTGTGTTATTTTCCACTTTCAAAAGCAATGTGGAAATTTGAAATTGAAATTTCTACCAAAATGCAACTTTGAGAAACAATCATTGCTGGATTGTGATGCTGTTTGAATATATTCTCGGCCTGTAGGAAACGCTGTATCTCATCGGTTGAATAGCAACAGCAGCTGTCATTCTGAGCCTGCTTCTTCAGCACTTCTGACAGCAGCTGAAGTCAACAGCAAACCTTGAGCTATGCACCGTTGAATCTGGTTGAGCCATTCATCGTCATGACAGGCTCTTCCAGTGATGGATCCTTAGAATTTGGGCACAAATGTACACTTTTTAACAGTTGGAAATGTTTTTTTTTGGTTTTTTTATTCCATATTTTAACCTGTTCAGATGAAGTTTAATCCTCTGAGAATACCGTCTTAACCTTTTCCTCCATGAAGTAGCTTAAAGTTTGATATAAAAAAAAAACCTCATGCCACACTGTCTGATGCTATCACATCATCTGTGTGAGCCTCATTTTTACTGAATGAAACTCCCAAGTTTTCATGAATGCACATCACATTTCACACAGAGTTCCGCAAGACTCATCCTGACATACACAGCACTTTTAAAAACACTGATTAGAACACTTAAAGCTGTTTGTTATGAGTTGGTACCAGCAGGTTCTGTGCACCTACACTGGTGTTTCCGCCAGGAGGAAGTTGGGGTGGAGCGATGCCGGACTAGCCAATGAGAATGATGATAAATGTGTAACCTTTCCCACCCAGCAGTATCTAGAGAAAGGGTTTTCTAACTTTTGCCAGTGTAGTGAACATTCATACTACACCAAGAGAGGCTATAGAAATGAAAAGACACTGCTGTTTTTTGTTTTTGTTTTTTTCATGGAAAATGCAGAATCCAGCATTTTGGAGTTTGGCTACAAGAGATCAAACAACCAAACACCACTCCTGCATTCAGTTTGACCACACATGCAATGCTAATTCGCTGCAGAACCTCTTTTAGATGCTGGCTCACTGAATTCCACTTTTGTGTGGAGAAACTGGACCAACAAAAAAACATAACCTCACTGCCAACACATACCCACTAATATCCTTTCATTTTACTCGTTACATTGTGTCAGTCAGCGGCTCGCTTTATGCAGAGAGCGAAATTTCAATATCCACACGTCAGACATCAGTATGAATTATTAACAATAAGCTGCGTGAAGTGGGAAAAAAAAGGGGAGTTTGTTTCTTCATAAGTCTTTTTCTTGCCGATTCCTCAAAGTTATCTTATGGATGAATCATCACAATGTTGCGGTGCGGCGATGACTATCATTGCTCTGCTGGAAACTGTAATAGTAAACCTCTGCAGATGATGATCATACTGTGGCTCTATTATGAATGTGGCGTATACCGAGTAATCAGAAAAAGAAAAAAAAAAAAACTCTCTCAACAAGCCAAATGAAAACAACAATATCAATCCATGCCTGAGACCTCTCGGTATTAAAGCATGCACACTCTGACAGTCTCTTACATTACACTGGAGCAATAATGTAGCTGCAAAGTCACTTGTAGCATTTGCTGTCTGATTTAATAAAGTATTTCATTTAATGCTTGTTGCTGGGTTTGGATGAGCCTCACTGTGCCTGACTTAGATGCATTTGTAATGCAGTTATTGTGTTGTCTTTCAGTTGTCTTTTAAATGTATTTAGTAAAAAAAAAAAGAAAAAAGATTTTATCCCATTTCTTTTATTATTGTTTTTTTTAAATGTGTAAAAAGAAGAAATTAATCACATAAAATATTATTAAAATTTTCTTGGAATTCAATTTGTCTGTGTTTGTAAACCTCCTCTGATGAAGCAGAATATTGTCCTTCCCAAACAAATGAACTGACATTTCTCTCAGTTGCACAAACACATTAATATTTGAGCAGAGTTCCCTGTTTGTCTTAGAAAAACAGCAGCGCAGCGTCTTCAGTTAACTGCTGACTATTTGGAGCCTCTGAGGCTGCAACATGTGGGAACAAACATTTTTCATCTGTACGTGATTGTCTCGGTGACGTTTAGACTTCAAAGATGGGCTCTGAAAGAAGCGGCAGTCTGGAGAAGATCAGCAGCCATAAAGTATTTAAAGCAAATTGCTTCTCCACAATGCAGTTACGTTGCCATTTCTGGAATGCATATTAAGAATAAAGGTGTTAAAGGCCACCAGCCTCCATCCTGAGGTTACGTTACCGATTTTGCAAACTGAAAAATGACTGCACTTAGTTACAGAATGTATTTTACATAACAAATGACTAAAGAATTATTTCCGAGGCAGGAAAGCTGTGAAGAATTGGATCACATTTTTCAAATCCACATTACTCAGATGCCCACTGTGTACACCTAAAGCTGCAAACAAGGCTGTAAAAATCTCCTGTCTTAACACAATTCTAATGTCAATGATGGGAAACAAAATCCACAATCATCACCTGACACATTTCAGCTAAAAGAAACACCTGGCTTCAACAGTCGGAATTAGTCAGATGAAGTGGGTAATTTCTTGTTTTAAAATGTTTTTAACATTAAATTCTCTTTGTGTTTCAGTTGGCAGGATTTCCTGGCAGCGACGGCAACACAAACAGGCAAATGCACACTTAACAAAGGTAACTTTGAAAGATCTTCACTTGATTTGTCTAATCCAGACTGCTGAGGACCAGAACTGGCTTTGAATTAGCTGGAATTCAGAGATAACATTTACATATTCAAATTTTTCTTTAAAGGATCCCAAAACAGTAGAATTTCTCACAAGCCTGTAATTGTTCCTCCTGTTCACTCCGGCTGTGAAGTGATCTCTTTCTCCTGTGACAAAATCTATTGTTCTGTGTAGGAATGTGTTCTTCACTTAAGCCAAAATGAGGCTTCAGCAGTCCGTTTGCCAAAGTGGTTTAAAGTTGTATAACAGCTTACTTAAAAAGAAAAAAAAAAGGAAAAAACTAAATTAACAGTTTGGCTAAAATAGAAATTTAGGTTAGGCTTCCAATGTTGTCGTTTTTTGTGGGGTTTTTTTTTTTGCAATAAAATTCCCTCTGCATTTGAAAAAAAAAGAGAAACAGAAGGAAGGAAACAGTGAATTTTACATGAAAAAGTAAATCACTTGATTTAGTAAACTTGGGCTGCAGCAGGCTTCCATCAGCTCCAGAAGAACTGTAGCTTTTGACCACATTTTTAAAAAATCATGACTGGTCACAATGCAAAGACCAATAACTATCGTAATGCCCACATTGGCATTTGACTACTCTATAACACTAACCTAAGAAAAATCCAAATCTAACCTATTATAACCGACATTTTGTGTCTCTTCGGTCAATATCCCTGCAGACAAAATGTTGAGAGCATCACAGTCATCTTTTCCAAACCCTTACGTTAATTTCGGGACACCAAAAAAAAAGCAAAGCAGAAAGACAGAAAAGCACAAAATGTTAACATTTTATTTACAAAGTTGTTTTTTTGTCATACAGAAAGTAAAAATGTAGCTACAACCTTGATTTGTGCAACAGGCGGCCACACTAAAAATCATGGCTCGCTGGTTGCACACCTGCTATAGCAATAATTTTATTGGGAAAAAATAAGGAACAGAAAAAAAAAATAAAAATTAAAGACAAAAAAAAAGAGAAATAATAAACCCAACAACAAAAAAAAAAATAATTCATCCAACAAAATATTAAAAGCACAGACCCAAAACTAGATACCAGTCCCAAAGTCCTCACACGGGAATACATAAAGAGGGATCGACAGTGAAATTGTGGAATGCTGAGTGGTGGGCTGCCTGAGAACCTCGGGGGCCGTGGGTGGGGTGAGGTGGAGGGTGTTGGGTGGCTCTCAGTTCCATGGTGGGGAGGGAAAAAAAACAGGGGATGGGGGTGGGGGGCAGCTCCACTCGGCCCACCCATCCGGTACAGTCTTGCCCCATAAAAAGAGCTCAGAGCTGGAAGGGGTCGGGGGTAGACGTGGATTACAAAGGCGGTGCGAGTTGTAGGAGGGTGGACGTTCGGGTTTGTGGGGGGGGGGGGGTAACTCGGTAGGCTCTCGTTTTCAGTTTCGCTCTTAATCGTCGTCTTCGTCATCGTCGTCCTCGTCTTCGTCCTCTGGATCTCGCTTTCTCTTCTCGCCTTTGCCAGTTTCTGCTTCTGGGGGGGTCAGAGAGGAAATCTGTGTCAGTGTGGCGTTAAGGTGTCGAGAACACAAAACGTCCGTCTTAACAGAACAATAAATGGAAAGTATCGTTACATATGCAAGCAAGAACACAGCAATTGATATGAAATAGTGTTTCGGTGTCGGATATTGCAGAAAAAAACACACTTTTCGCACTTTTTTACTTGTGAACAGTTTACATCTCAACTATCAAGCGTATCCTCTAGTGACGAGTGTTTCTGAATGGTCACGATCATGTTTTGCTGTCCCAACACGTTATAATGTTACATGATTACGGGCTCAAAATAAAACGTGTCAGACATGTATCTTCACTAGAGTAATATTTATTTTTTTCATTTTCTCTTTTGGAACACACCCTGCCCTCTTTAGATCACTGGCGCTAGACTTTGTGGTCAATGTTGTGATTAACATTCTTACAGCATGTTTTACTTGTGATCGATAGTGCACTTTTTATAATGTGAACGGTCAGTAATGGTTCGTCTCTAACGCAGTCTTTGGACTTGAAGTAACTAGAATCTCCAGCAGCTGTTACTCACATCAGCTATCCCCTAATACTGTACTTAACATTACTTCTGTCTACATTCTGAGTGTATGTAGGGATTAAATATAAAACTTTAACTCTCTTTCTCTACAAGGCCCAGCTTCCTTTCCATGGATACCAAAAACACTGTTTCCAAAACTAGATAACAAGAGCTGAAATACATCAAACTTCTGACCTTTGCCCACACATCACTCTTAAAGCAAAAAGGCAACACAGTTCTTTGTGCTGTGTAGAATTTCTTGCACTTTCACTTTTCAATTTCGAAATGGAATAGAAATGGAATAAAATAGGAAAATAAGGGCTTGTGTTGGTTTTATAACGAGATTTTGGACGTACACCTTAAGGAGGAACCTTTTTTTCTCCAGCTATTGAATTTGTAGGAGTTGCTTTATCAGGTGGCCATCTTTCTGACATGAAATTTCAATGTCATTTTTAAAGAGAAAAATCTGGTTATTTTAGTCCTCTAGACCAAAAACAAAAAAAAAAGTTCAGCATGCCCCTGAAGTGATCTCAGCTCTGTAGAGAGTCTGCGTTTGAAATCGTTTGACTGAGAGCTGTCAGTTTTGGAAAAGGATCTGGGTTTTAATGCGGTTTTTAACACAGATTTTAAAAGGAGACACATACCATCTTCATCTTCATCCTCGTCTTCATCCTCTTCATCTACGTCTCCATCCTGGCCAAAGTCTTCCTCCTTTGATAAACAACAATTCACAAATTAAAAAAGAGACAATGTATCTGAACTGTTTAAACCACTAAAACCCAGTTTTTGTTTTGTTTTTGTGGGTTTTATTCACCTCATCTTCGCCGCTGACTTCCTCGTCGTCCTCTTCTCCTTCTACCTCCTCTTCGTCTTCCTCGTCCTCCTCTTCCTCATCAAAGTCCTCCTCCTCTCCGTCCTCATCTTCCTCCTCCTCGCCCTCTGCAATACAAACGTAAAAACAATCAGTCAACCACAAAGTGGAAGCGCACACTTTAATAATAATAGCGGTCGCTTTCATTTCTCACTTTCCAGAGACGTAAACGTGATCGCTGTTATTAGTCTGAGGAACAGTTTCGAAATAAACTAGCGTGTAGACGTTTTTCATTATGAAGGAACATGTCACCAAGTTAAACAGTGTGACTAACTGATGTTTTGGACAACAATTAAACTCCATGGCACGGAGGAGGTAAAAGCTTTGGTTGCACAGACAATACTTGATAGCAGGATCAATAGATTGGTCGTTTTCGTGGCATATTTTAAATATAGGAAAAATATTTTTAAATCGCCAAACTTATCCTTTAAAAATGAGGCACAGTACTGATGTATTTTATGAATTTGTACAGCACACTATGCCCACTCTCTGTATATAACATATTTTCACAGCCAAAATAATCCCGAGCTGTTTGAGATAACGAACGTGATCTCGTACCTTCATCTTCATCATCATCTACGCAGTCTCCCTCCACCTCTCCGTCGGAGTCGGAGGCTTCCCTGTCCTCCATGTCATAACCATCCAGGTAGGTGAGCTGAGGCAGCAGCTTGAACACGCTCTCTCTGTAGTCATTCAGGTTTGTCACTTCACAGTTGAACAGGTCCAAACTCTTCAGGTTGTCCAGCTTTTTCTGTTGATCAAATGTACGCTGTGGTGAGAAGCTGCTGCTGAACTGTGAACCTCCTGTTTTCACATTACTGCATACATGCCAACGTGTGCACCATGATGAGATGTACTTGAGACGACAGAGACTTGTCAGTCAGTGGAGCAACCATTTATAAAGAGTGGGTAATCCCTTTAATATCTATTAGTCAGTGATCCAAACTATCCTGTGGCAATGCTGGGTTTGCATGATTTTTGCAGTAAGGTGATAAACTATAGATTTGTAAGCCACACCATTATCTGAATTAGACACAAACAGACTCCTACATCTTCTAGAAAGTTTAAGTTTCTAAATTGTATTGCCAGAAAATAAACAAGATCACAAAATATATCAAAATGTTTGCACCCTAACTCCACAAATGCAGGGTGCTAGGTGGTGTATTTTCCAATAATAATAATGAATATTTAACTTGATACATAGAACACTGATGAGGAGGATGTCCCCTGACCTTTTTCCAGGGATACTTCCAGTATATGATGTAGTACAACTTGTCCAGATATATAAATAGCAACCTTGACGTTAGAAATGTAGTTGGTATTTCTATGCTGTGGGTTCAGTAATATCCCATTAATTTAACTATAACCACATTTGCATCAGCACAGCAGTGCATGTACCACAAGGTTTTGTTTAAAAAAAACAAAAAACATTGTGTTTTATTTTGATATATATTGTATTAACAGGACACAAAATACCAAAAGAACACTGTATGCAACAACTGAGACAAAGACTCTGTGTTTTTTTTACAGCGTGTGTTGCATCTAAATGTCTGTTAAAGGCATGTGGACTCTCACCAATGGTTCCAATGTGCTGATGTCTTTCAATTTGTTGCCACTCAGGTTTAGATGTGTGAGGTTCGGTAGTTTCTCTGCTAAAACATCAAGGCCGCCGCTGATTCTGTTGTCGCTCAACTCCAGCTGAAAGGCGAGCAGAAGGAGAGTTTAGTCTAGCAGACACCCATCACGTCTGTTTTTACACCGAGGCACCAAGTGAAACGTGACAATTTACCTTTTTCAGTTTTCCTAGTTTGGACAGGTTGCAGACTGAAATTAAGCCAACATTTATCAAACTGAGGAACTCCAGGTTGACAAAGTCAGCTGTGAGGCCTTCGATTTTTCCTTCACCTGATCGACAATTGTCCAGGACAAGTTCTCGTACCTGAAAATGTAGAAAAATACAATAACATGTGAAAATTAGCACCACTTTAATGCATTTACTGACACTGTAACTAAATATCCATAATTAGAATTTATTGCAAAACATGTGTAGTTTAATGAAATATTTCCAGAAACTCTTTTTATTATTTTATATAAAAGCATTTTTTTCTGTAACGTAAGCACAAAGAAAATGTGCAAAAGCAGAATGTGTTGAGCAGGGGCTGTTGTTGTTGTTGTTGTTTAGTAAAATGGCTCTTTTACTTTGTGCAAAGTGTCTAAAGGCATTCAGTAGTTGCTTAAAATATTACAAAAACAAGTCCGAAGGCGGAGTTAGTTTGAGTCAGTTAAAGCTAACACTGGTTGCGCAATTCATTGTTGGACAAAAACGTTGCAAAAAAAGTTGTTGTCAGCCGACAAAGATCACGATTTGTCCGCTAAAACCCCGAAACGAAACCCGCGTCTCCGTCTAAAAACACTTTGTGCCGCTGTGCGCTTAATTTATCCGCCCACGACACTTAATCTATCGATTTCTTTGCAACGAGGAAGAGCAAAGCAGTAGCTTCCCATGGCCTGCTGATGCAGTCACTAATGACAAATGCAATGATTTTGTGAGCTAGCTCGCTACAGGCTAGCCATTGCCCCTTTTAAACGCTGCCGTGCAGTAGAGGAGCAGCTAGAGCTCTGTGTGCCCGCCATTAGCCAACCCAACAGCAACGGAAAGGATTGCGAATACACCCTTAGTAAACGTTTTCTTTTTTCGTTAAACCAGCTTTCATGGGGCAAGAGGAATATTCGTTGTCGTCGAGCGAACGACCGATATTGGCAGTTTGTTAGAGGGTACTACATCGCTTTCAGGTCGAAGTGGCGAAGGAAATATATTGAGAACGGAAATTTAGTAAAAACAAAGATGGAGACAGTTCCTTTCTCCCAGAGCTTCAAAGACGACAGAATGACAACATGGCGATTCCTGAGATACAGTATGCAGTTCTCTGAACACTTCAATGGCGGAAAGTGCTGCTTACAATGAGCGATTATCGCTATCTACACATTACCTAAATTACTCCTCGATGTTAAATTTGTTTTATTTCGTGCATGAGTCGGGAGGAGACGCCGACCGTCGAGTTTTTGGCTGCCCACGCATGAAGCGCGGTGCGCCGGATCTCGGTGTCATTCAAGCAGGCTGCCTCGGTTAATGAAGCCGCTGGCCGACAAACCGATCCGCTGGGCTGCAAACGTAAAGTTTAGCCTCAGAGACGATCACCGGGGCACCGAATCGGTGTGTTTGACGTTTTAAGCGTACAGCCGGGCATATTTCGCTGTGTTTGATCGGTGTAGAGAAGGGGGTAATATGGCGGGAACAAAATACTAAGTTGGCTGGCTGGTGTCTGAATGATTGTGAATCGGAGCACCAGACTTCATTTAAAAAGCATGCAATATTTAGACGAGCACAGATGCAGGGATAAGAAAAGGGGCAACGTCGCGGCTGTGCAACTATGTGAGCTATTCGAGGGAATTAAGTGCTGTACACTCCCTTTAAAACTTATGAATCGCAACAGCTCCAGCGTGCCTTTAAACAAATAGCGAGCACCGGGCTGCTGGTCTGGTTTGCAGTAGTTTGTGTCTCCAGGCTGAGCTTGGAGAGTAACACGGACTTCACATTAAGTGGTCAAGGTATGGATGACTCGTGAACCAAGTGACTGTTTTTTGTTGTCGCTGCTGAATCTGGCCATTTGATGGTAACATTAACGTACTCTCCAGAAATGTCAAGACATGACTCGTGATCGGCGATGGCCCCCTTTTGCCTTTTTACCCAAACTCATTTTTAGCACCAACGTCTTGGGAGTTGTAAAGTACATTTGTAATAATAATTTTACAAAAGCGCCCCATTTTTAGCAGTTATGCTAGCAGCAAACATGGCTTCCAAGGTCTGTATAAAATATACCGCTATGTGGATGCCAAACGCGGCGCAGGAAGCAGCTTTGCTAATATATCAGCGTAAAAACAAGTTTACTAATTGTGCTACCACGGTGGAGTCGAGCTGGATCGTGTGTGCACCATTGACCAAGGAGGCTGCGAAACGGTTAAAGCACTGCAATAATGCCAGCAAGCTGGGGAATCGCCGTTTCAAAGTAACGATTGAATATAGCTTTTCTCGTCTCGTTGCCCCTATACGCCCAATCCTGAACACTATCAAGGATTAAGCTTCTTCTGCGAGTGTTTTCCGCCCTATTATAAATGAGAAACATAATCTAAAGCCCATGTGGTCACCATTACGTTAGCCACACAGGTCACTCGCAAAGCAAAAAAGTAGCAAGCTAGCTAGCAAGGCTAGCCAGAAAACTAAGGGTTGGTTTTAAAAAGCACGACTCACATCAGACGGTGTCCTGTTTCTTAGCTCCAAGTGGATCCTCTTTTTCATGTCCATCTTGCCCTATGAAAGTTAAACTTTTCTCTCTTGGGTTTTGGTGGGATCTTCAGTCCAAAGGCAGAGATGCCCTAATGGAGGGAGAATATAGGACTGTATAATGAACTGAGCCAAACGCTAAGTTAGTCGGAGAGAGGGGAAACCATGGAGGGAAACGGGACTGAAACAAAATATATGCTCAACAGCGCCATCTCCGGCCAGTAACGCCCATCGCCTCTAAAATGGCATTGCAGTCACAAAACATGACGCTGCCCCGAAATAGTGCTATGGTGCAATTTATTTCTGCAAGGAAATTACTTTACTATGTTTAAGTGAAGACATGAGCCTTTCTGCTTGCAAAGTCAGTTTGATTTGGTGAAGACCTGCAGAATGCATGTGTACGCAAAACATCATTCAGCCAATTAAACGTTCAAAAAGTAGGTCATATGAGGAACTTTGTTTATGCCTTATTGACTATGGCTGCACAGAAATACATAGCTGCATTTAATATATTTGAAATTATGTTTTCCATTCAGTGTGTAACTAAGACAAACATCAACCATGGAGAAGAACCCCTGTTTTTTGGATAATACTTAAACCTGTTGCTTATGGAAGCATAAAAAAAAACATCTTTTGTGTTGCAAATGTGTGTAAATTCTGACAAATAAACTCATTGCATAAACTGTGTTGTTCTCATGCCTCATACATGCGTGATTTCTTTTTTTTTTCTCTCCACCGTTTTGGACACATTAGTAGAAAGGAGGGGTGTATTTGGTTTGCAGTAAAGAGAGCATTGTATGTGCATATGGAGGGCAGTGCACCCCCTCCAATCCCTCCCCTTTACTTCCTGAGACACCCGAGCCCTCATGTAGAAGTCCGCTCAGTGGGTTGGTTAGATTTTCCCAAATTAAATAATAAATCAGCAGTAATATTCTTGGTGTTTGTCTAATTATGGGCTGATTTTTCAATGGATTGTAAAAAAAAAAAAATGAAATTGATTCAGGCCACAATGGTTAATATCCACTGCATCCACTATTAAGAGTACCCTCCCATCACCCTCTCTCTGGCCTCATACAAATCATAGGTACAGTATATACACTGTTTATACATCAAGACTGTTTTTAAATCAGTGCTTGGTAGTTGAGAATGTGTACCAGAAGATGGCGTTGTAATATCTGCTCTGACATTCCTCAAACTTGAGTTTCATTGTGCAACAGTAGGACCGTGTGTGAGTGACAGTCTCCTCTGCCATTGGCTGCAACAGTAAAGCTGATAGTAATCAGACATTCGGACAGACGTGCATGCTTTGAAGGCGTCTGTTGGAGGTGTATCAGCTGGAGAGTTAGATATGTGCAGCCTGTGATCGTTTGACCAGCTGGAGGTCAACACTGACACTGGAGGATCATCTGCAGCAGTTTGAATATGAGCGCGTGTAAATCAGCTTTTTGTTTCAATTGAACAGTTCCCCTCATTGTGCGGGTGTGTGTACAAAAAACAGCAAGCTATCATAAAAAGAGAATATTTTCCACTGCAGCTTTTTTGAACTCAAGTTCATTCATAAAGAATGTACATGGAGCAGACACTGATGTAGACTTTTTGTTGAATAGAAATTCTCTGTGGATTGCAAGAACCTCATTCCACAGAGGAGTCAGGGAATTTAACAAAGGGACCCTCAACATTTCCCCAACAGCGCTGGAGGCAATTGACAGTTGAGTGTTATTTACTCTGCTGGATAGCCTTTTTTTTCTCTGAGTGGCTCAAACACACACATCAGGGCTCAATGTGTTGTGAGAAGATTGAGAACACACCCCAACTGAGTAGCTCTCCATCTGAGAGATAAGACGAGTATACCCCCGCTTTAGTTGAAGACAGGATTTCTCACTTGGTTTCAATCTATCTAACAGCTTTGCAGCATAGTTCACCCCCCGAAAATTCACATTTGTAATGCTTTTATGGTTATTATTATGAATACGCACGCTGAAATCCAACACATACAATGCCAATATATTCAAAACCACCTGTAATTGAACCCTTCAACGTAATCAGGCAGTTTAGAAACTAAATAATTGTCTAAAATCAGTCAAACTTTTGCAATTGCTTAGTTAAAGCAGTAATTTAGAGTTTGGATCAGCTGCTGGATTTCACACACATGCATGCAAAACACAAGAGTCATATTGTTGTCCAGTCTACTTTAATTTTACACACACAGTTTTTGGTTTATTTTAGTGTAGCAGTCTAGATAAACTATATGTATTTCCTCCGTTACCACATACGTACATATTTTTTCCCTATCACACACACACACACACACACACACACACACAACTTGACCCAGTCTTCTTTTTTTTTTCTCCCTCTGTCAGTACTGTGCCAACTCCTCCAGCTTTACAAATATGATAAGACCACTGCTGCAAGAACTCTCCCAGCACTACGGTAATGGTTAACCAGATAATTCATTTAGGGGTGGGAATAGAAAACAGCCACAAGTTATTCTGTCTTCTTTTCTGTGCTTGCCCGCCTTCAATGAGCTGAATTCATTCATAGCAGAATGGAGGAGACGTCGCAACAAGAGAAACCTGAGTCGGAATATACAAACCCAAATGAGGACGAAGGTAAACTTTTGAAAATTCTATTCTTTTTTTGAAACTAGGTACTTCAGTTTTTGAACACAAAGAGATTAAGTGAGCCAGTTATTTCTTTGCATACTGTAGGTTGTTTTGTTTTTTGTTGTCAGTTCAGACACAGAAGTCTTTTGATCAACATCTAAGCTGAATTAATGCAAATCACGCACACATTTACTCTATCTGTGTAATTGTATATTAAAACCAAGTGTGGAATGTGTCTATTAAACGCTTGCCAGTGCGTAGCTGGAAGAAAAACATCTCTATAAAGCAAGTCTTTATATGCCATGAGTCACTCACATTAGCCAGCCATGCGTAACAAATGCTGCTCAGTGTATCTTTGAATTTACACTGCACCATGTAAACATATGGCTTCTCTGCATGGGTTTCTGTTTTAAAGGTGGGATCCGCCGCCGGTTGCGGGACAGGGACCTTCTCAGGAAGAGAAAAGCCGAGGCAGAAGAGAAGGAAACTAACCAGTGGGTTTTTGGGTAAATTTGTTGAAACGCACAGTCAGTGTTCCTGCAGTGACCTATTTACAGATGTGTTCATGAACTGGTGAAGAACTTCTAGCACTTGTACAGTTTTATGGCAGTAAGTAGTTGTTGAGATGCAATGGAGATTGGAAGTACGAGTTTTAACCTCACGTAGAAAGGTTTAGCAGCCTGCATTGTAGCAGTGCACTTTACAGTACATGATGAAAACACTATCAGCTCTAGCTGCTTATCACTCCTCTGGTTTATATTGAATATGGAGCAAGAGGAAACCAAAGGTTGCTCTGGTCTTTCTGTTGACGCTCCAGATCCCAGCCAAGGACTTTGTACTATTAGCTTTGCAAAAGTATCACAAAGAGCTGTATCCCTGTCCACTGTGGCTAGGCTTAATTACAGCTGTTGTATTCTGTCAGGGTGGAGAGCCAAAGGAAAAGATCAAGAACCGAAGACAAGAGCGGCACAAAGAGGCGGGGGAGGCCCAGGAAGACTGAGCCCTCTCCGCAGATATCTGTTGTTCTAGAGGAGGCAGCAGTGACTCAGGAGGCTCCTGCAGTGGTGGTGGTTCCTGAACCTGCTGAAGTTATCCCAGATCAAATTTCAGTCTCTCTGGCTCCCTATATTACTGTGGAATCACAGTCAGCTTCTGTTCTTGCTGCCCCTGTTCTCCCAGTTGCTCTTTCTGCCCCTGTTGCCCTTTCTGCTCCAGTCCCTGTGGCTCCTGTTGCCCCTGCTCCTGTACCAGTGATTGAGTCTGTCCAAAGGCCCATCTTTGGTCCTGTTCTGACTTCTCCTGCTCCAGTTAACCCAACTCTAGATGTGGATCCAGTTTGTGTCCAAGATTCAGCTCCAGCTCCAGATGCTGTTTCAGTCCCAGCTCTGTCCCAAGACACTGTTCCAGCTGTAGCTGCTGCTCCTCCCTCAGCTCCTCCCCAGGTGGAGACGCTCTACACAGAGTCACAGGGAGGGGAGGCCCTCGACCAGGTTCTGATTGAGGACTTGGGCCCAGATGAGGATGATGACATCATTGCATCGCAAGACAAAAGAGTTGATGAAGGTATGACTGTTGCCACACCAGAGCGTTCATTTGAAACATTGCATGGTTGATGTATTCTTTCTCTGATGCACCCACCGTCTCCAACTAATGATTCCTAAACTATCTCTCTGTCTTTTGTAGATTTGAGTGGAGCACTGTCCACCACCATCAACGTGCCTGAACAAAATAAATTGTACTCGATTCCAACCCTGTCCTCTCCGCCTCTGCCACGGGAATATCTTCCAGGAAATTAATTGTCTCTTTTTAAAGAAATACACTGTTCAGATATTGCTTCAGTTCACAAAATGCAAAGTCAGACTATGTCTTCACTCGTCACAGTTTGTATCTGAGTATTATTTTATTTAGCATTCAGTCTGTTGATGAAGAAAATACATAAGCTGAACCTTTGCAATGCAAATGAAACCTGTATGTGTATTTATTCTGGATTGTGCTTCACTGTGAGGCTTGTGCATTCTTTTTTTTTTTTTTTTTTGTACTTTGCATTTAGCAAACAGCAAATTTTGCTTGCCTTTATTTAAAAGTAAAGGGTAGGAATCACTGGTAATTATATATATTGTAATTGTGGATTCATCTTGATTGACTTTTGTAAAAGATATTTTTCATCAAATAAAATTCACTGCTTACACCATTTTGCTGTGCTCATTATTACCTGTGAGATAAACATGTGTCAACATGAAAATGATAAATATGACAAATAAATGACCCTGGCCCCCCAAAAATCCTTTAAATTATTTAATTGATTTGATTTCATGTTATTTACATCTTTAAAAAATTAACAGACCATAGACTATGTTTGTATTTGTGTTCAAATTCTGACATTAATTTCAACAAATGATGTTACTCATTATAGTTTTTTGAGGACTTTGTGTATCATCCAGAATTCATCATGTTTTTTCACGTAGATTAGAAAATTAGCTGCAATGATGAGGATGAATTCTACCTGATAGCTAAATTTTACTGTGATCAATGTAAATACTAATATCTCTTGTCAGTGAAGTTGAAACAGTACATTTGTTTTTGGTGTTGGCTTTTTGAGCAAGGTGATTATCATTGCTGACAATTCTAACATAAGCAAAGACAGTTAATGCAAAGGTGTCATCTACTGTAAGATAACATTGAACTCTTAGGGTCCTAATTTAAAGAAAAGGAACATATTATACTTTCTTTGTTGCTTTTTCAAGAAAGTAATGCATTACTATCCTTACTATCCTTTGATTGAATCTGTGCCTTGTTTGTCAAGGCTTTTCTGTCCAAACAATTTGGATCTAAATGCTTGTTTATAAAACTTCAAATTTTCTAGTAGCAGTTGTACGTAAGTGTACATATTGTATACACAGAGATAAACAAAGTATTTAGATTAGAACTGATATAACTAGTTAATTAAACGATTTCTATGTTGACAGAAAAGTAAATAAGTCGGCAACTATTCTGACAGTCAGATAATGGTTTTCTGCATTAAATAAATCAATTATGAAAATAATTGTTGCTCATAGCTTAAATTCAGGCCATTTACTTTAACAAAGCCTCGTTGGAAAACACTGAAAATCCTGTCTTTGAAATGTTACTCAAGCAAAAGCACAAAGTATTACAGGATGATGTAGCTGCTCATGTTATTCAAAGGAAAGTCACTTATTAAGGCTCCTGTCAGTTCAATATCTTTGTACAGTATTCCACTTCATTAATCCTCCTGATGCATTCGAGGCTAAAACATTTTTCACTTGTAACTGTTGAGATAGAGCCAGATACAATTACTTTATAAATAATATTATTCATACCACATGGTATTATATAGGCCTGAGGTGATCTGTGGTATATAAAACCTGAACCTGTAGAGTTACTAGACATGTTTTTATATAATTAGCTAAGGAACAATAGGTTATTTCCCTCTGACATGCAGTAGAGTTAAATTAAATCCAAATACACGACATTTTTGTATTGAGTAGACGCACTACATCACATTCCTTTGTGTTGGCTGCATGTTGTGTAATCTCCACATAAAGCTTTTTGAAAAAAAATAGTAAAGCAGCTCCGCTCTGCCCCCTGCTGATAGAAAACATGAGGTGCAACACAAGTGTGAAACTTACCAATGTATTTTGTAACATGTACGCCTAGTAATTGCTGCAAAACCTCTATTACACAACTAAAAAACACAGGAGGAGACAAACCGACAGAGACTTCACCTCTTCACAGCAGCTGTCAGTCTCCAGTTTGTCACGTGAAACACTCCTGGTTGGCCAACAATAAAAGAGTAAAACGTTACTTCCGCATTGAGCAGCTCCCACATGTTTCCTGCCTCGCGCTGTTTGTTTCTGTCGCACCAGCTGAACGCTAACAGAGATTTCTCACTCTTCAACTCGGCGACATGAGTCCGCGGTGTGACTGCTGCTGTGAGCACATTCAGAAACTGAACCAGCAGGTTTCTGTGATGCGAAAAGAAATCAAGAATCTGAGGTATGTTTGTGACCTGGAATCAACTAATGGAGGCACACATCTGCTAATAACATTAAGAACTTAAACGTTGCTTCTCTGTAGACACAACAAATCAATCTCTGGTCTTCTTTACACTTTTCAAAACGCTATAAAAGTCTGCTATAAAAGTGCCCTTGTTCTTTGTGGCTATGCTGTCATGTGTCCTCCTCTTCTCATTAGTTTTCTTTCCCTTCAACTCCTCTCCAACAGGCAGATGCTGGACAGTGCAGTCAGAGCTCATCGCAAACAGATGACATCTGTTCAGGCTGCTGTGTCAAAGATGGGATTGAGTGAAGATAAGAGAGACCAAACACCTTCATCACCTTCATCATCTTCACCACAGGCTGCATTAGAGCAAGGTGATTATCATTGCTGACAATTCTAACATAAGCAAAGACAGTTAATTCAAAGGTGTCATCTACTGTAAGATAACATAGAACTCGTAGGGTCCTAATTTAAAGAAAAGGAACATATTGCACTTTCTTTGTTGCTTTTTCAAGAAAGTAATGCATTACAATCCTTATTTACTCCCTGCAGAAAGTTATTAATTACACTCCTCGTTGTAATACTGTTGCATAACTGTACTACATTTCCTGAGATGCATTATCATGTAATTACTAAATAATAATGTAAGGGCAAACTTTACATACACCCACATATCGGTACAAATTCCTATCCTAGTAAGAAGGCCACTGTAGTGGCACTCAGTTCCGTCGTCTTCTGTACCACAGTTTGAAGTCAGTCCAGCAACACGTGTTTGAAACGCCAGTGAAACAAGTTCTTGGTTTCAAGGGTTTAATAAGAAATAAACAATATACAAATCACATGGTCAAAAAAACTGTGTCACTTCCAACATCTCAGGCTTCAATCTGATAAGTTAAGCCCCATCAGCTGCATTAGAATGACGTAGCATTACTTGATTGGAAGCTCAAACTCAGATCTATTTTAAACTTAACAATACTAAATTATGCATTTTATTAAATGCATTCTTCCAGAATCAAAATGAAGTTGCCCATCTTTAATATTACCACTTTGCTTTCAACTGAAATATTATCAAAGTAAAAATAATGAATTTGGCTCTAACAGCCTTATACAAGATTTAACAATAAATAAAGTATTACAACAAATCTAGCAGCAAAGTTACTGAGACCAGCTTAAAGAGTGCTTTGGGGAAAAAAAATGTGATGTTGCATGTCAAAGAGAATCAAGGTGGCACTGATGGTGAGCTGTAATGCATCACTTTAATGTCATTCAGTGTCTAAAATGTCACAAAAATTGTAAAACAAAAAGCCAAATCTAACATCTTTAGATGACTTATTTTAATCAAAATATCCTATTTAAATGTGTTAAAATACAAACATTTAAATCAATTTATGCATGATGTAAAACAGTAAAAAGCATTGTCTGTCAGCTGTTTCATGATTTAACTGATTAACTGTATGTATTTTAAGTATACATGTATAGAATGTCTTATATGTACTGTATGAAATAAAAGAAAAAAAGACGTGTACAATAAAAGTGCAAAGTACAAATGATAAAATGAATGAAAGGAAGAGTTGACAATAATCAGCAACAACAATAAAACCACCTGCGTTATTCTGTGCAGGTCCCTCCAAGGCCTTCAAAGCAGATCTGACCTGTCAGTCTATAGGACCTCTTTATTGTTTATTGTTGTGTAATATTGTAACTTGTTCTAACAGACAGAAAGGTGCATCTGTGTTTACCTGTTACACATTTAAACAAGATTTTTAACTGTGTAACATTACAGGAAACATCCAGACGGTCCCTATTGGTTACATCAGTTCCTGTTTTTCTGTGAAGAACGGGACCCCCAGACAGCCCACTATATGTGGCCCCTCGAGGGCAGAACTGCGAATCCAGCAGAGCGTCTTCAACAACCCGGATCACGCTTTGGTGGGCCTCGAGCAATACTCCCACGTCTGGTAAGCTACTTATAGATATTGTTGCACTGCATGTTTGTTCTTTTTCTATCTATCTTTTACCATCCAGTCCATATTGTTGTGTTGCTATTTAGCAAAACACATAATTGTTGATTTCTCAACAATGTTGTGAAATACGGTTGGTTCAGTCCGCTGAGTGTGGGCTCTTGATTTATTGCATTTCAACTCTCAGGAGCTGCATATAGTTGATATCAAGAGTCTTCACAAAACCTCTTCAAATTGTATAATTGGATTGCAGCAAAGCATGAATGAAAACTCATTAGGGACGGGGGGTCATTTTCATTAAGATGTTTGAAACTCATGCTCATGCGCTTTTAATTGAATGAGGTGTTATTTTACCTTTGTAATATGAACATCTGAAGCCATGTGAAGGACCGGTAGTATTTTTGAGGACTGTATAAATAAGTAATGTTCACTAGCCTTGTTTTTCTTCTGACAGGTATATCTACTTGTCTTGTCGAAGGAGGATTTTATTTGTCCATTTTGCACAGGATTTTCTGCTGACTTCAACAAAACGCATACAGACGTTGTGTATCCACTGTTTATTTCATGTCCTCTATCTGTTTCCCTCATTTGTTCTGTACAGGATCATTTTTCTGTTTCACAAAAACGGCCACCTCAGTTACAAAGCCAAAGTGAAGCCTCCTCGACTGAACGGTCAGAGAGTTGGTGTTTACTCCACACGCAGCCCGCACCGACCGAATGCCCTGGGCCTAACACTGGCCAAGCTTGACAAAATTGAAGGTAGGTGTTGCTGATAAAATGTGTCTGAAGACTAGTTTGACCTGTATTTATTTCTCTATGGGAGTTGGGAGCATTTTGGCATTACCTGTGCTGATCAGTGACTGCATATGTGGGTCATTTTTGGCAATAGTTACAGCCGTTCATTCTTTTTATTATTCAAAGAACATACTGGTCCTCCTGTAATGAAACCCTGTTCAGAAACATATCCTGCTAGTTTAAAGTGGATCCCATAGCTGATCTCATTATTCTTCTATCTCATTTTTTAAATTAACTCAGTGTGAAACTTTGATTTTTATGTAAAATGTTTTTGCTATTCTGATGAAAGTCCTGTTGTGGAAATAAAAAACGAAAGCTGTCTGCAGCACAGGAGTTCATTAAATGTGTGTTGGCAGCTACAGGTGTTGTCTCCTGGATCGTCCTGCAGACCTGCTGTCTGCCTCTGTGATGTTAATCC